AGGTATATTCATTAATTACGTATAACGACAATTTAAATAATTATTTTAAAGTAAATAGATAAACCATTTCCTGGCAGTATTCTTAGAAAACTTAGAATCACTATTATTAAATCAAGCTCTAAAGCGATGTGAACAACCGATAGCATATTTTTTGTTGACGAAACTAGTGATCATTTAATGACAGCGATCAGAATTAAATTATTTAACATTTGTTCTTTTTGCTAAGAGAAAAAAAACGTGACAAAAAGAGGACAGCTGTTTTTGTTAACAGTAACGAGGTAATGAGCGGAACAAAAATCACTTGTTACATTTTATTTATTTGGAAAAGAAATTGCTAAAATTATACTATATTGGAAGCTTTTAACATTATGTATCCGTTCGTATATAGTTATATTTTAATTTTATACATATATTATATTATTTATGATATTTTGAGAATAATCTTTTTATTTTAAGCCAAAAAATTATGTCGTATGTTGGTATGTATGCTAGTTACTATGCAAAAGAATAGCTTGAATCCATTTAAATTATACATATTTACGTACATTACATATAACTAAATATGTTTTGATATGTTAAAACACACAATAAATAAGTCTCTTATTACTTTCAACCAATATCAACTGCACAAACGCTCTATCATACATATATATAGTCTATACAGGTGTAGCATGAGTCAGACGGCGCGTCTAAAAATAGCCTCCAGAAATAACGTATTGAGTCGACTGTTTACAAATATAAGGCATTAGCGACGACTTGAGCGTAATTTAATTATATGCCTGCAGGAATTAGCGGGTTGGAGTCGATGAAGGATGCTTACAGTAATGAGTTACTTACAACTTCAAATGTAGAGCCTTGTTGGAGATAAAGAATTATACCTAATCGTATTTACGGATACAGTTTAAGTAAAAGGCAATTTATACTTATATACTAATTTTAAGAATTAAGATTTGCCGGTGCCGCGGCCGTATCATAAATAAATTTTGTCATTGCTGTTTTCTAAATACATAAATATTTCTTTCAATCTTTGTCCTTCAATTTGTTAAAAAAAAATTATAATACTAAATTAGTCAATATTTTCAAAAGTTAAGTTTACTTAAAGAAACTTATTTTTGAACAAATTACAAGTATTATTTAAGGATGTTACATAAACTCTCCCAATAACTTAAAATTTGTGTGAATTCATAATTTTTTCCCTTTCATTATTTAATTAAGTAAGAATTGCTATATATTTACAGGTAGATACGTCAGAATACAAAAATTCTAAGCTGAGAATCCTTCTCGACATGTGAAGGAAGCGGACTATGAAATAACGGGATATCTATTTATTTTGTCACATAAATCTATCCCAATGTCGCTGTCCGCAGATTGCGAATGGTAATTTATTGTGTGTACTTGGTCCTAGTTAATATTTATTTATATTTGCTGTTATCTACAGATACAACTTTTGCTTATTAAATACATAAATTTTATTGATTTCAAAATTAAAAGTAACGCGAAAATTGGAAAATTCTTAAATATACACTTTGTCTGCTTCAGAAAATAATTACATTTTCTTAGACAAACTTAAACAACCGGTTTAAAAATATTGTAAGTTTTTTTATTTATTTATATATCCTAGAACTGGGTGGTATGTATAAAAGTTACAGAAGTTTGCTGTAGAAAGCTACAAAAACCTGACTTAGAATAAAGAATATATGTACATGCTTAAATTGATCAATTTAAAATCTGTTAACAAACATACCGTATATTATCATATTTTAATAGCTTATATTATTAGCAAATAATATAGAAAGCGTGTTACAAGTAATTTAGGTTCACCCAATATGTAAATGAACTCACAAATCATTCACATGGCTTAGAAGGGTAATAAAATCATAATACAAACTTCAAAGCTCAATTAATGTGTAAACCACTTAAACTTTATCGGGCATTAAGCTCGGGAAAGCCTTTCTCTTAATTTTCTGTAAAACAGCCATTTTATTGGCGCGGAAATGGATTAACCCTGTATCTCTTAGTACTGTACTGGCCGTGAACTGTAAAATTTGTTGGCCAATTACACGTTTTTGTTTTGCGCTTTTTAAATGTTCTACATATTTTCAGCGAGAACTTTTTAGGCAATATTTTTATTTATACAGACAATATAATTTTTTATTAATGTAGCTTACATTACTTGTTTTTATAACAAATTAAAACTGTAAAAAGGTTTGAAAGCTTTCTGTCTAAATTGAGATTTAGAAACTTCATGTTTTATTCTCGTGATCATATTTATTATGCACAGTTGTTCGCAATGTTTCACGCCTCAATACTTTAACTGAGCATGAAATTGATACACGGGATTATTTTTATTACACCTTTTTCTATATTAATCTAATAAGGAAATTACAAAAACCATGTTACAATACTTTCTTTCCAAATTCAACGGAAGATATGGATGACAAAAGCTAAATTTTTGTTTAAACTTTGAATTGCATTATATATGTATAGGTTATACTATACGAATATAATATGTATTGTGTATATATGTGAGAATATATTTTAGTATACGGATAAGATTTCGCTTCATTTCTCCTGTTTCTACTAACGCTTCTTGGTTCTTCCTACTACATCAATTATTGATTAGTTATAACAATTAACGAATTTGAGTCAATTTATAACTTATAACTAAGTTCTGTTGACTGTTGCTAACACAAAAAGTGATATTATATTGCAAAAAATATTAAAATGAGCTTTAACTACTTTAGCTATTCACACACATTTTATGATTTCCATTGTTGAACTTCACATAGCTTGCAAAATGGACTCACTGTTTGGAACGAGAAACTAAGCGACAATGTTGTTAGTGGTTTTCGTTGCTGAGAAAGTTATCTGAATAACGTTAGGTTTAAAGGATTATTTTAACGGGTTTAAGGTTTTAACTGCGGATTTAGAGGCTACACGCAAACGAAATGAAAGCTTTGTACTGTCTTTCAAAGAAACTACGGTTACAATTTGTTTTGTTTCAGCATTGTTAAGTTTTTATGTACTTGTAAATACAGTATCTAATAATTTTAAGTAACTTAATATATAAATCTGTAGAATGTTGAGGAATTTGCAAGAGTAATAATATAACTTGTTAATTTTTTTACTATTATTTCATTCAAATATAGAATAAATAAGATGAAATTACAAATAAAACGTGATTTTTTTAATTATTATTTAATTAGTTTCGATATCCTAAAGGTATAGCTAAAATCTAATCAAACTTTAAAACGTGGAATGGTTAACATTCACAAAATATATGCAACGATGACAGGCTATGTTATTAAATTTTCATCAACCTCCAATATTTATTAATATCCCTGACAAACGATAATAAATAAGAATCGTCAAACGTTAAGCCTTTGGCGGGAGAATGTGCCATACTTTAGATAAATTATTATGCACTATAATGTTTATTTATGATTCTTGACACTCTCTCGCTTAGCTCTGGCACGTCCCATCTAACTTTCGCAACAAAATAATATTACACTCATATATTAGTTTAGTTTTTTGATTTACCGGTACAAAAAGTAAGCTTTATCACTCTTCGCTTAATATCTATCTGTTTGAGAAAGATCATGTCATTTTATTACTCATTTTCACAATAAACTTTTGTAATTATAATATTTTCATACATAATTAAATATTATTAAGGGCACAAAGTATATAAATAGGCATACCCACTGCAAAATCTATCGTTGCAATCGACATGTCGTTAAAATTCTTAGAAGGAATTTCACTTGTTATTAAATTTCGTGTAACTATAGAAAAGCATTAACCTTTTGACCAAAACAGTAAAATCAGAGATTATGGATTCAATTGAAGCGGTGATCAATTTATTATATAATATTAGTATATTAGTATTATCTACAAAAATGCTTGTTATATTCTTTGATGTCAAATTTAAAAAAAAAAGCTATGAGAAGCCAGATAACGCGAGGACAGATAAAGTAAGTGATATAAGAATTAAATTGAGCTCTAACAAAATTTAAATCACAAACAAAAGTAGGTATATCAGAGTAAAACGATTTTATCGGATTTTTTCGCGAATTTATTTTTATTTTTGGTTCCAGACGTTTTGAATGCTTTACAGCAATCATAGTTACGAGACAGTCTCTCCGAAAAGATAGTTTTATTTCATCGTCCTGCAAGAATATCAGATTATACTATGATGTGCCGTATTATGCTAGCTATAATAGATTTCATTCAAAAATATTTTAATTATTTGACAAAATTTTCGAATGCTTAGGAACGTCAAGTTTCAAATATTATTTTAAACTAAAACTCAATTGTAACTCAAGAATCCCAAGCATTATAAAAAGCCGTTTTTTTTATTAAAATGCCAAATTAAAAACTTGTATTCACATTCCGCGTCAAACATAAAAATTGACTTATTTCAATGTACTGTTGAAACTTTGGTAATCGCTTTACTAATCTAGTTCACATTCGAGCTTTCTATAACCGGAACTGATGACGCGGGGTGATCAATAGCGATCAACATTAACGGTCACCCACCGAGTAACTGACCTCAGTTAACGCCACTTAACCTCCGTAATCGGTCAACTTGTGCAAATTGCTTAGCCGTTATTATATATCTTTAAAACATTAGTTAGTAATAATTTGAAATTTAATCGCGATTTTATCAATTTCCTTTCTAATTATCCGCTAAATATAAAAATATAAATGTTCCAATTAGAATCCGATTTAGAAACTAGACACTTTTAAAAATTGCAATAGGCATAAGAGAGGTTTAGTTACCCGTTAGTTTTGAAAAAATATATACATAAAGGTATTTAGTAAATATATACTGATAAGAAATTGAGTAAACAATAACAAACCGGAGAGAAAAGTATCATATTGAGTAACTTAGTTCCCAAAACAAATAAACCCCACACATTTGGTAAAATATGAGACATTAGTGACAGACATAATAAAGGCTTAGAACAAAGGATGCAATTCGCGGTACTTGCAGTGCTGACCTCGGTAGACGTCATCGTAGAGGGGCGCTAGCGAGTCGGGCGCTCCCCAGCGGGACGCCTCGGGGTACACCATGGGGCCTACGACATCGCTCGGCCAACGTGCGTCTACGCCGGCGGCTGCGCGCGGACTGACGATCTACACTTCAACGTCGAAATACACAAACTATAACTCTCTCTTTTCCACAGTTCATCTCACTCGCACCCCCCATACCCCCCACCCCTCCCTGTCCCCCGCGGTCCCCTATGGCTTCACTTTCGCACGGTCGCGAACCCGTCGCGACACTAGTTTAATTGCAGCGGCTGCAGAACCGGATTTATTGTCTCCCGTCGATATCGCCGCTGTCATGGAACTCGGCCGCAGACGGACGGAAATCGAGTGTAAATGAACTGAAATTTTGGATTGACCAATGAAATTTACTGAAAATCATATAAATATATGATAATGTACGTTATTTTGCCCTTGCGCAATAGCTTATTACAAGCCTTATAATTATATAGCTTTATTAAAAAAATATGCAAAATGATGCACTAAGAAATTATTAAGTTTAGAAAAATAATTACTTAATATTTTAATTTTTAATGTCTCTAAAAAAATATTTGCTGAAATATATTTAATACGCGAATACTAAATTTATTTAAATTAATAATTATTTGATGAAATATATGAACAAAGACAAGGAAATCTTATCATCGCAAGAGTGCGAACCAAAGCTTTGGTAGTGGTGGGTATAAAAGACATCAACGCGCTCCGCTTTTAAATTTTAATTAAAAATGTAGTACTAGTATTCAAATCACGTAGAGCTTCTTCACTGACTTATATATGTATAATCATACTTGGTATTAAAGTGATAACTTTTAAAAGATAATATTTTTACTAATTAGATTTTTGTTTTGAGATTATTACCAGATTTTTTTTAAATAATTGTTATTAATAAAATTCTTTTAGGAACCTCATAAACTTTGTCTTAACATTACGAAAAGCGCTTTCGCTTACTCAACCAACCAACCAACAAACGGCAATAGCTATTTTTTTCCGTGTTTCTGTACCATACATGCACATAGCAAATCAGAGATGCAGCGCATTTGACGCTTGACCCGCCCCCGTCACCCGCGCCTGTAATAGCATTTCTTAACTTCTACTTCCTTGCATCTTATATATTTTTAAATCTTTGATGATATACAGTTTTATTGCGTTTTATTGTCAAATTATTTTTAATATTTTAATAAGAAATAAAAATCCCTTCAGTCTGATAATTCTAAGGTCATGGGTTGGAGTTGATTCCCACCTAGAACAAATAAAATCATAATCAACCTAGTTTAAATAGTACTTATTAAAGCGTACTCTAATATAACTAGATTTATTTCCAGTATCTTGTCTAAAGGAAGATTTGCTGAAAAAGGGTGGTCATGATTTTCTCCATACTACTCTTTGGATGTAAAGCAAAGATTTTTATATATACCTACCGGATACCAAAGAATATAACAAATAGCGGTCTTTTTACATTTTTAAATATTTCACCAAGTACGAGTAAGATGATCTACATACGAGTATATTTTAAATGATGACTTTATTAGAAAGGTGAATCCATGCACGTTTTCATAAACCTAAAACGGTGTCTCTTCGATATAAGACAGCACCGTTAACTCCTAACTAGTTCAGCTCTCACATTCGAGATCTTTTTGCATTTATTCTGACAGAACTCTGATATCTCACTAGTAACAAGCCTAGACCATTTACATCTGACTTGATTACATTTAAGTGAGAAACTAATTTGATATAAAATCTGAGTTATATCAACTTTCAGTACTCTAAAAATATTCTCATATATCTTTAAACGTAAATCATTACCGATACCTATATCGCTATATATGTATAAGTATATCTATAAAAATATGGAAGCGTATCCACATAACCTGTCTAGCTTACAAGCTTCATGCAACTGAATCACTTAAATATAATAGACAAGCAAGAAAATCCCTGTCTGTCGTGACAAACTAACCTATTTACGTAACAAAAGCACTAAGTAGGTGTGACAATCGGTGCGACGGACGCAGGCGCAAGGAAAGGTGCAGTGGGGCCGGGGCTGCTGCCGCAACCAGTTTGTTTTAAATTCGCGATAAAAAATATCTGCAGCGTCGTGTCATTAGCCGCAGTGTCCCCCGCCCCGCCTGCATGTATTAATCTTATTCGGAGAAATCGGCGCATCAACCTCACCCCGCTACCCTTGATGCCCACAATACCGCATTTAACCAGTGCAGTTATCTGAATTATTTTGGTATCGATAATAATAAAAATATAAATATTAATAATTCATTTCTACTTACAAAAAATTAATCAAAGTCCTACATTTTACTAGAAGCTATTGTAGAGTTTCACTATCCAATTATTCGGCTGCATTTTTCGATCGGCTCGATAGTATTTTCAACTGCATTACACATATTTACAAAGAGGGAAATCGATACAACACTTTTTTAGAGAAATTAAAAGAACGTATTAAAAAGAAATCGAAAGGGTCAAAGCAAGTTGTTATGACATTGTGCAGTGAAAGAACGGACTTAATTGTTTATTTTGTTTTATAGACATATAGAGTGGACTGAAAGTTTCTTTGCCAGCCGTCTAAAAAGCCGGCTAAAAATGGCGGAAAGGCACAACAGAGACAAAACAAATTGAGAGGCCAGAAGTCTTCTGTTTTAATTGAAATACGATTAATGAGGATAGATATTTATAGCCATTTTATATTCCGTTATAAGATTATAATTTTTAGTAAATTAAAATATTATAATTTTATCACATTCCATTTATAAATTCAAGTTGAAATAAAAGACAGGTATTGACCGCACGTTCGCTTTCTATCTTTATGGAGAGCGGTCAATTTCATGACAGTATTGATCCATCCATTCTCTAGGACTATGTTTTCCTTGGACTGTGTGTTTCGTATTTAGTCCGTTATTATTATAGAAGTTCAAACGCATATAGAATATGAATAACACAGATATGAACCCGTAAATAATATTCTATACTACTAATATTTATTATAACGTAATTTCATGCAATGAATATGTACGCTTGATATGGGAAGGTACTAGCTCCTGAAACACAGTTTTCTAGTTCAGGAGTTAGGGCTGTGTGTATTTGTTACCATTGTATTGTTTAAATAAAGACTGTTTTTTTTTTAATATTATAAACGTGAAAGTTTGTGAGGATGGATGGATGTATATTTATCTTTTACGTAAAAACGACTGAACGAATTTTAACGAAACTTTACAGTAATATAGCTTATATTTATATCAAAGTAATATAAATATAAAGTAATATAAATAAATATAATAGGTTATAATTTTTAAAGATATAGTACAACATAATTCAACTACGTCTACGGGTGCGGAGCCGCGGAAAAATGTTAGTTTACTGTAAAATCGTATACACTGTACTAGATATAGTAGAGTCTTACCGATTACGGACGGAGTCGGAGACTCTTTATTTTACAACTTTGATCGTGCGTGAATATTTAACTACTAGTAAGCTCTTCTTCTGAGTAACTTTTAACAATAGTATCTGTCATACAAAAATCAGTAGTTGTAGGGATGATGATAATATTCTTCTAATCGATTTCAATCACAGAGGCCAATCTCGCCTAAACTAGACAACTGTACAGGAGATATTATAGTGCACATGTGTACACGCAGACAGAAATTCACTCTCTATTTCTTTCACTATCAAGTTCCGATGGGACCATAATTTGACACGACTGGTGAGATTTCGGGCCCAGCACCGATTTCGCCGTTTCTCTGTTGGTGGTGAATAACCTCCAACTTCTGAACTCCTGACTGTTACCGAGACTTTCTTAATAAAAAAATTCAATAACTATAGTCCATTCGCGTTATGAAAATAGTCAGTCATCAAGTGCAACGGCAGGTAAAGGTGTATTCACAGTGGAGTAAAAATCAATTCAAATATATTTCAAAAGATTAGGTTTAATGGATAAAAATCAACTTAATTATCTTACTTTTTTTCTATATTATCTTTAATCTTGATTTGAAATGATAATGATAAACAAACAGACAGAGAAACGATTTTTTTTAAATAATCTGGATTTGTTGTATTTCTCTTGTTACTTCCCCCTGACTCGGTTTTTAGCTTTATTTCTATGTACAGACATTCTACCCCTATAGTTTTATTATATGTATAGATAATGACTTTATTTTGATCTGAGACAATTAATCAACTTAATTATCTCTAATCAAAATAAAGTCATTACTAATATATTTAAGTCTGACTTCAACTGGTCATTATGAACTCGACTTTATAATTTTATGCGACATAATTGATCGGGGGGCGTGGCTAGGCCGGAGGACACCGATGACTCACTATTTTCTTAAGGCGAATGAACTATAATCTTGGCCCAACCTGGAACCTAAAATCTTCGAATATATATCCGTACAAGATAGCCACTACACCGCTGAGATAATATAGATTTTTTATATGGATATAAAACGTACACTAAGCTTATATCATCATCGATCTATTACTAACTGTCTTCTATGCGAGAAATAGTTAGCCTTGTGGTGTCCCAAAACTGATAATAACATAAAATAAAAATCAATAAAATACATCTTTATTTGTCTTATTTTAAAGTTTATCGATAAACGAGTACCAACATCCCTATATCTCGTTCACTCACTGTGCGACATTACCTTGAATAAGTTACCCACATACGCAACACGCAATATAATATATAAGCTCAAATAAAAACCCGCAAACTTCACCGAACTACAGTGAAGTTAACTTCGGAAAAAAATTAATCTTGGCACCAAAAATAAAGATTGCCGTATTGGTTTACTTGGAAAATATATAATATATATAATAAATATATATAGTGATAGTTTGCTTTTTTAATTACGTTTATAAAAGGAAAGGTGTAAGCTTTTATGAATACTGAGTTTTAAATGAAGATACGTATAATCATTACACCGCTGTCATTTGCCTTGTAATTAGCTTCATATCATATCAATATTTTTTAATTACCCGTAATATTAACTGAAAGTCGAAAAAGAATACAAACAAGCGTGAATAGCTTATATTCTTTTCAGTTAATATCGTAATCTGCCTCGGTGGTGTAGTGGCTAGCATGTACGGCTACACACCCGGAGGTCCTGGGTTCGAGTCCCGGGTCGGGCCAAGTTTAGTTATTGAGTCTTTCTATATAGTAAGCCTCAGTAACAGCGCGGAGTTGGGAAGTTGGCGGTGATCACCCCCGTGCCTCGAAGAGTACGTAGAGTCATCGGTCCTGCGCCTTAACTCTCACCGGTCGTGTCGAGTATTCGTCCCACCGGAGTATGAGAATGACAGAAATAGAGAATGCACTTGTGTCTGCGCGTACACTTGTGCACTATAATATCTGCTGCGCAGTTGGCTAATCTTAATAAGTTTTTCCGTCGTGGCCGGAATTGGTCAGGAGAACATTAATATCATAAACAATAAATATAGTTATAGAGTCGTACTAAATTAAAAGCAATACTTTCTGATTGTGAGATTTGAGCAAATATTTGACATTTAATACAAAACTATATTTTCGGATTCTTTGCGGATTTATATTTATTTTAATTGTAGATACTCACTGTAATAACTTTTGAGGCGTCTAAAACCTTTGTCTCTTCCGTGACCATGATTGCTATAAAGCATTCGAAATGTAAAATAAATCCGAAAAAAACCGAAAAAAACGTTATAGAATTAAATGGAACGCAAATTTTGCACAAAAACTCAACTATTATTTATACAAGGCTATTTTATAGAAAACCCTACTTTATGTATTTCTCGCGTAACTTGAAATCCAGAAGTAAGTTCAAGAAGTAAATTCTAGCGCGTAATTTATACGCCAAAGATAGATGCGGCGAGTCATTGTGCATTGCATTACTCATGAACACTCGCATCTATTGCAGGAAATCCTAATGGTTATTTATTAGAACTAGATTTCAAGATAAGCTAAATATAACTTTAAGTAGTAGAGTGTTTTAACCCTAATCTATAAAAAAAACCTTTTAGCGTATTATTTGTGATATATTACATTATTTTGTTATATATACGTATAGTACTATATTTTTTGTGGCCATCTTCACAAATACAATTTCGAATCGATTATCATATTTTTTAATGTAGAATAGAAGCCCAGATAACCTTAAGAGTAGTCTGTGTATAATAGGCAATGAGTGGCTATGTATAATAGGCAATACCATAAATAAAACTTCAATAAACCTACGATAAATTCAAGTTCCACCCCCCTCTTCATCCTTTTAAGGGATGATTTCCGGGGTAAAAAAAACTATCTCCATACTAAATTTCATCTAAATCCGTTCAGCGGATTAATCGTGACAAGGTAACAGACAGAGAGACAGACAGACAGAAAAAGTTACTTTCGCATTTTTAATATTAATATGGATTAATTTTAAAAGAACAATTGCGAAGTTTTACACCGGCTCTACTATTTCAATCATGATTTAAAATACTTAAAAAATAATTCTGATCACAATATATGTGTTTTTGTGTTTGGCTGTGATTAGATTAATCTAGTGGTGGATGGATTTTCGGACCTAGCAAAAGTATTTTAAAGCAGAAGAACTCAATAGTACTAATAAATATATCGCCTGTGATATCTATATGTACATATAATAAAATTTTAACTAAGTTGAATCTGTACATTTAATATTTTTTGGAAAATCTAATTGAAATAGAAATTATTATCGAAACAGAATCCGAATCTATAGTTTTTAGAATTTTTGTCTGTCTGTCTGTCTGTTACCGCATCACGTGAAAACCACTGGACAGATTTTGATGAAATTTGGTATCATGATAGCTGGTTATCCGGGTCAACATATAGGATACTTTTTACCGCGGGAAAATATCTCATTTCTGAGAAAAAATACCAAAACTGCATTGTAAGAGCTAATATGTAAAACCTAAGAATTTGGTTTTTGGTTATCTGAACGCGGGCAGAGCAGCGGACAATGCTAGTATAGTCTAAAAATAACATACACAGACTCAAATCAAAACAAAAAACAAAATTTTATTTATTGAGATTATAATTCCCGTTCTGTCAACAAACCCTTATCTGTGTATGTGAAGAAGGTAATCCCAATTACGTATAGGGAAAAGGTATTTGTCATACAGACCCGAAAAATTTTCCGCGTCCCTTTATAACGAGTAATGTT